GTCCAGGTTCAGGGTAAGAGACACAGACAGTGCACATGGGGCAAATGCAAGAACACACCCACTGTTACTCACGGTGAGAGTGCAAATGAATCATAATAGTCTCTGTGTGCCATCTCACTCCTGCAGTGCCTCCCTTAAGTAAAAATGATCATTCTGCGGCAGCGATGCACCCGCAGAAAGACGCACCATTTAAACCGGAGGTCATACTTTTCAAGTCTGTCTGCATTATATATTCATGATATCTGCATTAACTCACTTAATTTGCCTGTAATTGGTTACTTATCGTCCTTTGTTTAGTTGAAGTTTGCGATCTGTCAGGCTGGTGGGTATTTTTTTGTATATAGACCATTGTCTGTTTTAATGTGGTACGCTTTGGACCTCCCTCTGTGCGTCCTTAATAAAGTCATTATTAAATTATAAAGACAGGATCTGTTAATGTGCAGATTCATAAGGCAGCATGCTTAACAGTTCCAGTGCTGATGGTCGTATTAAAAAGTAGGCGACTCCTGCAATCCTCGAGCACATTCACCTTAAATAACCTTATGCATTACAACAAGGCTACAATTGATCTACAGGCTGATTCAAACCCTGATTGCAGGGATGTGACTTTAGGTTTCAGCACCACGGACAGAGAACAGCCACTATGCTGCACACTGAGAAGCGCGCGCCAAAGTTTATCTGATTTAAAAACTCAGATCAGGTCATTTTTAAATCTTTCTTATTTTGACCCAACTCACCTTTGAACCATTCCTCTGCGTGCGTTGAGCACTTGGATGCGTGACCATCCAGCTGCGCGCGGATCTCTCGCAGTGCGCCGGTGACGTCCGCCTTGAGCGTGTCTCTCATGTCAAAGCTCACCTGGGCACCGTGAATCTGCTCGAGGAGCTCCGCGACTTCTTCCTCGTGGTTCTTCTTCAGGAAGGCGGCCTCCTCCTCCAGGGCGCGGAGCTTCTTGTCCAGCTCCATCCGCGCCATCCTGCACTCCTCTACATACTTTTTCATGGTGCGCGCAGCAGCTTCCAGCTCTTCCCGGTTCCGCGCCTCGTCTTCCAGCCTGACCCGCAGGTGCTGGATGTCCTCCTCCAGGTGCTCATGCTCCAGAGCTGCGCGGGCCTTCTCCCCGGTCAGCTGCTGCAGGAGACCCCTCAGGTCGCCCAGCTCTCTTTCGTAGTGCTCCCCAACGGAGGCGCGCCCGGCCTGGCTCTGCCGCAGCGCTGCCGCTTCCGCCTCCAAGTTGCGGTTGTGCATCTCCAAGTTGCGCACCTTGTCGATGTAGCCGGCGAACCTGTCGTTCAGGGTCTGCAGAATCTCCTTTTCGTTCCTCCGCGTCATGTCGCCGTTGAAGGTTTCCAAGCTGTCCACGGAGGATGGCTGGCTGTAGGTGAAGCGGCGGCGCTGGGAGTGAAAGCCGCTGGAGGACACGGACGCAGGCCGAGCCTTGCGGTACGAGGTCGGGCCGAAGAGGTGGTGCTCTACCGTGAAACTCATGTTGGCTGAGCCGGATGAGAACTGACTGCAGCAGGAGGGGGGGCGCTGGCCTTATATAGGAGGGAGGGAAAACTCACTAGTCAGCATCAGGACACACACATTTAAAGAGATATCTGTTCTTCAGGCAAGTACTGCCTGCGCAGGAATATTCACCATGTGTAGCACCTTGTAGATGAGTTGTATTTTTACTGAAGGTGTTAATAGGGTGTAATTTATATAAAAACAACAAATCTAAAAAACAATATTGGTTTAATGGCGTGTGAAGTGTTTTTAAGCATCACTGTCCACTATCTTAAGATGTTTAATGCATGGTAACATTTGGGGAAAATGTAGTCAGTGGGTTAAATGATTTGGACATGAGTAATTTTAGGTCTGCTTGCATCTGGCATGGCTTTATATAGCCATGTCTGATAAATTATTAATTTTGCCAGATTTTACACATTTGAAGACATATTTATTTTTTTGCTGTGGCAAAAGTCTGAGAACTGATTGTGTCGGTGTGCAGTGTGTTCTGCTGATGCTCTCTGTAGCTGTACTGCTGCAGTGTGAGTTTGCAGATCCACGCAACTCCCCTGAGACTCAACTCAACTGCTGGGCCATTGACAGACTCTCTCTCTCTCTCTCTTACTACATGCAAACACAAAAAGGTTTGCCTCTCTATCCCCTTATAGTTATCCCCATGTTACTTTTCATCTCTTAGTTTCTGCTTCTTTTTGTCACTGAGGAGTTAATAGTCTCCAGATGTGCACATGTGGTTGCAGTCCAAATATGACATGTGACAACACTGACATATTAAAACCATAAACAGCAGCAGCACCATGCACATGAGGATGTGCACTGAGCTACGATGATACAGCACTCAGACAAAAACTGAGCTGCCTCTGCTGATCCAAAGGGATGCTCTGAGAGGAGGACAGTTCTGAGGAGCACGTACAGCACCTATTGATTTCTCAAACTCTGGGTGAGTGGGTTTACACTGCATGCCTTAAAGGAGAAGGCAGAACTGTGCCTTTTCCCTTGAGATGTATGCTAAAGAAAAGATGGTTCAGCACACATTCATTTCTCTGTATCAGCCATTCTTCGTCCCTGTGAACGTGTGTGTTGTCACCTCAATGACACCCAGAGGACTGTGTGACACCCAAGGCCCTCAGTCTGTCCTCCAGCAATCATGTCTTTTTATGGTCCTTAAATCTTATTTTCAAAGGCTAAAAACAAATTAGTTTGCAGTCTTTTTTTCTAGAATATTGGAACATGTTTGCATTTCTGAAACACATAGTCACAGCATGTTCAGCACCATAGCTCACATGTTCAGGGGGCCGAGGGCCACCCAGGACAGAGATAACATGCATCACATCCCCTCCCTCCACTAGATTTATGTTTTATAGATGAGGACAATAGAGCAGAGTAAGCAGAATGCAGTTGTGATGTTATGAGGATCTCATGTTCAATATAGCTCATATTCCCCAATTACCTTGTTATTTGAACCAACTGCAAGCAGCTGAAGTCTACAGAAAAAGACTTTCTACCAGCCATGACAACACTGCGACAGCTGGTATTGTTTTCCATTTGTTGTTTTCCATCTGTGGAGCATGAGGTCCTGGAGACACATATTATAGTGGGAACCACCACAGAAGCTGTTTTAAGTATTCTACCAGGTGTCTAAATTGTATGTCTGTCTGTCTGTGGACAGATTTTGTCAGTGCAATAGCATCACAACCGTGCAACACACAGTCATCAAACTTTACAGGTGTTTAGTTGTGATCAAAATGACGGCCATGTTCTTAGATGGGTGTTGTCTGAGCAAGGGGGCTTGAAGTAAGTGGTATAAGAAGTAGGGAAGGTGCCATTGCCCCCATGCTTTATGCCCTGGGCCCATTAACTTTACAGTGTGTAGTTGAGATCACAGTGAAGGCCAAGTTCGGAGATGGGTGTGGTCAAAGGAAGGAAGGATGCTGGAGGTAGGGAGTAGGAATTAGGGAAGGGGTGATTGGCCCCTTCGCTTCTCTCCCAGTCAGTAGAAATATAAAGTAGATGATTGCTGTATTGTGGCTGGAGTGATCCTATCACAAGATGGTCTCTGATTCTCACTCTGTGATAGAATATACTTGCTGAAAAATCATTACACATATTAGGGCGTAGGTTTTGTTTCATCATTTGGGAGGGACACATGAAGCAGGGACATTGGGGGTCCCCTGCCAGGAAATTTTGAGCATCAAAGACTTCATTTCCTGCATTCTGGTGAATCTTTCTGCACCAATGTGTGTCTTTTCTGCATTTATTTGTGGTGGAAAGTTATTTATTTTCATTATTTAACATCTTTATTAGGGGGCAATGTAAGCCTATGCAAACATGGACACACTTTGGGTTTAATCACCAGTGATAGTCGGTGACAATATTTGTAATCCGAACAGTGTTAAGCTACACTGGTGGGGAGCTGTTAAATCCAACCATACAGATTTAGTTGGTTTCTTAAATCTGCTTTTTAACGCTGCTGTGGGTTGATTCGTCACACTGACATTCAATTACAAACCTTTTTAATGGAAGTTTGAAGTCTTGCCATGTGAATGACATTGGCAGAAGGACAGCAGGAAAAGGAGGTAGGAGGTTCCTGCCATATAATGACCTTGTCCTTGAAGGGATGGATGGAGACGGGAGACAGTGAGACAGAGAGAGATGGAAAATAGCAGGATCGATGCAGACGAAAATGTCACAAAAAGTGTAACCCATCCTATAGGAGAAAAGAAGACAGGATGATCTGGAATGAAAGACGTGTTTGTGTATGTTTGTGTGTGAATGCAGCTGCATGTGTGTGCATATATATGTTGTGGAGCAGTGGATATCAGGAGTTTCCCCTTGTTTTTCCATGGTGATATATTTAGTGCTTTCTGTGATTTGAGACAATGAAAGAAAGGAGGAGCTGGGGGGGCTGTGATGGAGGCAGACAATGGTGGTTACAGACAACAGGGAACAAAATGATGCACTGATGGGGGGATGACAGAGGGATGAGATGAGAGGAGAGTGGAACTGGGTGAGAAAAGAGGGAGTCACCTTGGGAGGGACAACTAGGAAAAATGGCTGTCCTGGCAGTCTCAAGGATGACTCAGCTGCAATACAATTATGGCCTTGGCTTGTGTTTACTTGCATTATACCTGTGTGTGTATGTGTGTGTGTGTGTGTGTGTGTGTATGTGATTATAGGAGGATGCTTCTGCTAATGCTAATTTTTTTAAGGAGTGGACAGAGAGTCAAACTGAATACATTAAGGCTCTGCACTTATGAATGTGTCTGTAGGTTTGTTTGAAGGGTTATAAAGTAATGACCAAATACAAAAAACACAGAAGCTTCACAGTTTGATGGCTGTAAAAAATAAGCAAAATAAAATCCTATAACTGAACTTTCCAGAACACAACTGAACTCAAAGGTTTGTCACAGCACCACCCGCTGGACAGTTAGCATACTGTCGGTGTCACTTCCTGGTTTGTCCACAGGGGGCAGCACTGCAATGAACTCACTCATGTTTACTTCCGGTGTTAGCGCCCCTTTGACAAACGAGGGAAAGTTCAAACAAAGCAGCACTTACTTTTTTACAAAACAGTGATTTAATATCTAGTGTAATGTATAAACCACTTTCTTTATTAGATAGATGGATCCAAGAAAACAACGCGCTGGTAAACAAATGGAAGGTAGGAAGTTAGCGGTTAAGTGTCTCGTCTTCTTAGCTGTTGACGTTAGCCTCTAACATGTTAGTTAACTAAATGCTAAAATGCTCCGTTAATATTAGGTTTTGTAACGTTAAACCAGTTTATGCTTGAGACTCGATTAAGACTAATTCTTGCTAGCGTTAAATTTGTACTTCTGGTATCTACTAACAAAATGCAGATCTTTTATGTGTTGTTTCCATAAACAGTGTTTCTCTACTGTGTTTGAAGTATTCATTATTTCAGCTAGACAGCAACATGTTTTATTATCACCACAGGTAGAGGAAGCATGCATGTCTTTTAATGTCACTTGTGTAGTCACTAGTGTTGGGGAGTAACTAGTTACATGTAGTTCAATGACACACTAAATGTAATTATAATCAATTACAGTTACTGAGGGAAAAAAACATAATTGAATTACAGTTACTAATCAAAATGTTGCTTATTACAAAGGCACGTATTTTTTCTAATATGGAGGTGGACTCCAGTACATAAAGAAAAATTAACAAATAAGTGTAGAAAGAAAGAGAAGAAAACAAACTCACAAACAAAAAATGTCACATATATGTCGTCATACATCACTCCACAGGGTCACACAATCACAGAGTAAGTTCATAATTATGTAGGCTTATCTTCCATTTTAATATGTGTCCATAATGGGTCCCAAAGGAGATACTCATTTCTCCTGATCGCCATTTATTCTACTGAGCATACATTCATAAGATGCTATTTCCACCATTGCATTAACCCATTCTTTCAATTGCGGGCCTTTTATTGTCTTGCAGTGTCTTAGAATAACTCAACACTTATTAGACCCACAATTATAACAGAAAATGCACACTTGGATATGTTTGGTATTTGCGATTGAACCCCTGTCTACACTCTGGACTTAAAGGGATTTTCTGAACTAAACCAACAACTTACAATTTCTAATACTCTAATCCAGAGTGGTCTAATGAAACCTTGATTTGCCTGTCTTGGGGTAAGACATGACAGTGTACGCTGATGCTTCAGCAGCTTAAGCAGTCATTCACTCGGCTCTAGCAGCGTTTAGAGATGAATCCAAATGCAGGGTCTGACAAAGCCATTTTTATACCTTTAAGGAGTGAGAGGAACCTCACAGTACTACTATTTTTTTAATACAAAGTCTAGTCTTTTAACCACTATATTCAACAAGTTTTAATTTAGTTGCAGCACTAGTTCGAAAAAAAAAAAAAATGCAAATAAAACCAAACTTTTCATCCCAGGCTTTTCGTCCTCTGTTGAAAACAGGAAACACTGATTATTTGATTGAGGACAGGGTCAGCAACAGCAAAAGTATATCAAAACATCCGTTCACAAACTTTCACACAACTCATGCAGTATAATCTAAGCCACCTCCCAAAGACATGAATTTTCACAAAAAAAACCCTCAGTATTGGAGTCTAGCTTTGTAGGGAGTATAGATGGGTTTCACTTTCAATCCAGTTTTAAATAGTATGGTTTTAATGAAAATGCCTGTGTTTGGAAAATGCTGAGCATAAATGAGACTTTTTTTTTTTAAGATATTTTTTGGGGCTTTTTAGCCTTTAATAGATAGGACAGATAAGCTTGAAAGGGGGAGAGAGAGGGGGGGAGTGACATGCAGCAAGGGGCCACAGGCTGGAGTTGAACCTGGGCCGCTGCGGCAACAGCCTTGTACATGGGGCGCCTGCTCTACCACTAAACCACCGGCGCCCCCATAAATGAGACTTGATAAAACGTGCTCCTAAATGTGGTCCAGAATCGATCAATAGATCAGTATGTCAGCTGTTTTCCGTGGAGGGATGCAAGAAAAATTCTGCATGAATTCAGGGTAACACGGAATCACTAATTGATTTACAAATGGTCATTTTGTAGGTGAAGTACTCCTTTAATGTAGACGGTTGGGCATCTGGATCCACTTTGTAAAACTCATCATTATGTTTTGTATGAAAAATCTCTTGAAAGATAACTCATTACTATATCTTACAGAAGTCAGGAAGTAAAAAGTACCATACTCTCCTTCAAATTATAGTATAGTATTAATGTGAAGTAGCATAAGATGTAAATACTCAAGTTAAGTATGAGTGCCTATAAATTATACATATGTGCAGTGCCTGTATTTACTTTCCTGTTTGCTTTCACTTTGTTTCAGCAGCAAGAAAGAGGAGGAGATGCCTCGAGCCGAGACCAGAGCCAGACCCATCTGAGATTGTGTTCCTCTGAGTTTCACAAACTTTTAATGAAAATCCAAGGTGCTCCGTCTCCTTCATAATACAAAGGCCTAATATGTTAAGGTGGAAACCTCAGCTGTTATCTTTATGTGTCTTCTGTCTCCCTCCTTTCCTTCCCCATGCCCTTCTTCTGCAGGTATCCCTCCTCTTGCAGATCACACACAGTTGGAGCTGACAGTGGTGTACAATGCCTGTGTGTGTTCTGTAGCTCAGTCTCACTTCTCAGAGGCTGAGCTGTTGCTCACACGAGCCACAGAGAGAGGTAGGCCTGCACTGTAAATAAAATTGGAGCTTCTGTTGACGTTTATGAATAAAGCTTTAAATGTCTGCCACCATGTTTTATGATGACGTCACCATAGAATTTTAATTATATTCTCAAGCAGTTTCCTCAAATTGAATAAAGCATTTAATTGAATTAAATGAGATTTCTTTAATGAATTAATGTAGTTCAAGGTGCTGCTAGACCGCCCCCATTAAGACATGTGTGTTCCTCCCTTTGTGTGTGGCAAGTGGGAGAGCAAACTTTTTTTTTTTTTTTAACCACAAATGTTTTTTTTAAGGGCTAAATGGCAATAACTATAGATTGAAGCAGATTATTTCAAAAGATTAAAAACATGTTGTGAATTTTGGAAACAATTACATCTGTCTTTTTCCAATAAATTTTGACCTTTGGACTTTACAGCCCTCTGGAGTAATTGGAAACGTTTTGATCACATGACTTGAAAACAATCCTACACAGCCATCAGTGGAATCTAATTCTACAAATAGTATAATGCTAATGATATTAGTTAAGCCTGATGCAGACATACGGGGTTTAACAGAATAAGTAGACTGAAGAAGAATGAAGCTCCACACTATTTGTTACAGCCCTAAAGCCCATACCACTAATGCTACTTATCCGTGTCTCTTGACTTTAACAGCCTGCTCTTGCCCCTTACAGTTCTCCAGATGTCAGGAGTTGACTTTGTTGCTTCAGACCCTTCTGTGTTTTGGAGAACAGTTCTCAAATCAGAGGGAAACACCGCTTTGAATCGCTTTGTACTATACCTCCTCTGTCTGCAGTGGGCAATTTGGCTGTCAACTTGTCAGCTGAAAACTATACAGGTTTTTCAGGTAAGATCCTGTTTTTAAGCTGTGTTCCCACCTCGCTTGTTTGGTGTAGTTTAAGGAACTCTGCTCCATCTCCCCTTTTAGTCTAGTTTGCTTAGACTAATTAGGTGGATGTCATTAAGCCTCTGGTGTGTGTGGGGACCAAACCACTACACTGAGTCCTCCTAAAGCAATGGGTCTCAGTTAGCGTCCAAGAGACAAAACCATGTGTGATGTAACCAAGGCTATGTGATATAGAAATGTGCCATATATATCTATTAATTTTAAAGCTTACCTGCTCATTATGCTGGTTTTGAGGTTATGTTGTCTCCTTCCTCTTCATCTCATGGCCCTCTATAATTGTTGGATTTGTACTCTTGTCCCAAAGAGAAATTAAATATGATGTTTGTTTGCTTGCTTGTTTGAAGAGAAGAAAGAAAGAAATAAAAGCTTTCTTCAAGATAATTCAAATGCAGTTTCCCCCACTCTCTTCTTTTTTAATTACATGTCACTGGAATTATATCTTTTATAATTCCTGTTTCTGCCAGCAAAAACAAATATTTGCCAGCATGCTACAGCATCCAGTCCCGAACTGTGGGGGATACTGTAAAACTATACTGTATTTTTTCCTGTAATGCAGGATGAGCTGTTCTCTGTGTTTGAGAGACTCTCTGCTGGAGTTCCTGATGATGGGAAGAGCGAGCCAAAGGGAAAGTCCTCTGATTTTCCACTGCTGGTGATGGACCCAAGAATTCTTATTGAATTATTGCAGATCTGCACTTTGATTGCCCAAGGTCAGCAACCCTCAGGTTTTTGGTTAATGCATATTAAAGGACCAGATACAATTTGTTGTAACCAGAGTGCTGAATCTTAAGCATTGAATATATTTGTTTGTTTTTTTTTAATTTCTAAATATATATTTCACCTCGGTATAATCTGTATACTTTTTTTGCACAGGTGCAACCAAAACAGTAGATGGGCAGAGAAACTCAGTAGTAATACAAGCAAAACATTATCTGAATGCAAAGTGATGTGTTGGGGTTTATATTTTGTGATTTGTTAGTGTTTGTGTTAGTGTTACGGTAGAGCTGTGTATTAAGGAGAAAATCAGATATCACAATATTTTAGACCAATTACTTCAATGTTGATATTGCAGCGTTATTGTAGGGTTGACTATTGGTGCTTTTACAAAACATCTACACAATGAGAATTTTGATATTTAATCATAAGTAATGTGGATAAAATGACTATGTGTTTAAAGGCAAATAATAGAACAGTCTGGTAAGTTCAGAAAATTGCATCACTTTACTGCAATGCAGCCTCTAAAACCAGGAAAAGACAACACTTACAATATGATATCCAAGATGATATCTGGCATCACAGTGTCAATATAATATCAATACACTGCCCTTGTGTCTGTAGTACTGAGTAATTAATCCTGTGTTTTGCTCTCCATATTTCATGAAGGTGCAGAAAGCTTGAGTGAGGGCCGGAGTTCAGAGGCGCTGTCTGGTCTGCAGATAGCTTCCTCCCTGCCTGCTCCCAGAACTCTAGTAGCGTACACACACCTCCTCTCAGGCCTTTGCCTCGCCCATATGGTACACATGCAGACAGAATCCACACATACAAATGAAAAATGGGCATAACAGGTTTGAGCATTTGTATGCAGTGAGTGTGTGTGTGTGTTTGGTTTTGTCTCCAGAGCCGCCCTCAGATGGCGTTGCAGTGTTACAGGAAAGCACTGGAGACAGACTCCCGGTGTGTGTGTGCTCTGTACCAGAGCATGCTCATCTACAGACAGCTTGGCAACACACAGGCTGAGATACAAGCTCTTCATTTGCTGCACTCAGTGAGTAGCTCAAGTTATAAATACAAGCAAAAAAAAAACAGCCAAGTGCCTGTACAATGTTTCTAAATGTTTGTCTTGTAGTACTAGATGAATTATTTGTATTGTTAAAAAATATTTTCTGCTTTTGTCTTAGTAGAGTAGCACCTTAACAGGTGAGCCAGACAGTTTATCTGGGGCACTGACACATATTCCTGGAGGTGTAGGCCTGCATACTGAAACATGAAGCCTCTCGTGTCCCACAGACTTTGATGTTGCCCTCTGCCACAGAGCCTGCTCCGGCTGGTGCTCATCTCTCTCCGTCCCTACTGCTGCACAGCCAATCACTGAGCAGCCTGCTCTCAGTTCCCTCTGCCCTCTCTGTCCTTCACAGCCTAGCCTTGAAGTGTGTGCTCCATGGCAGGTGAGAAGACCAGTGAAGAGTCTCTGTTATTGTCTTTTACTGGCACCTAACAACAGCTAAAAACCAGAAAATGTAGATGGAGATTTGTATAGTTGATGCACTGTAGTTGTTAAATGGGTCTTGTTGCTGTTCTTTCAGGGTGTCAGAGGGTGTAGAATATTATTTGGACCTGCTGGCTGCTCTTCACTCAGAAGATCAACATGGAGTAAGACTGAAAATACTGACAGACACCCAAGATAATTTAAGAAACAGCTTTGGATATGTTTTTGTGCATGCTGTGAGCTTATATGTGAGAAGTCATAATTTATTTTCCTCAGTGAAGGATGCTCTCTTAACATGTTAATTGACATCTGTTTGCTGTTTGTCTCCATCTCAGATGCATGCTGAGGGCCCTCCCCTCCCAAGGTTGCCCGAGCTTTACCTGCAGGCTGGCGCTGCCTTGCTCACGGCCCAGCGGCCAGCTGATTGCATGGCACTGTGCGATGAAGTCATCACTACAACACTGGACCTGCTGCCAGAGAAGCTGGTGTTGGAAGAGCCAGAAGAAAAGTGTGAGGATAGGGTGGCGACTGTGCTCTGGGCGGGGGCTGCCTACATGCTCCAGGGTCACTGTCATGCTCACCTGAAGGACTGGAAACAAGCTGTGACTCACTATACAAGGCATGTGAGATGAAATTGGCTTCACTTCTGTCATCAGGTTTGGGGATTATAAATTAACACTTAAGACTGTACTCTGCATTACAGATGTGTGAACCTGCTGGGGAAAGTGTGCTTTAAAAAGAGAGGTGAGTACTTTTCTGACTTTTTTGACATTTTGGAGAGAAACTGTCCTTTTTACACACCCAACAGCTACTTTTACATTTTATATTGTTGATTGGTCCATGACAGGTTTCCAACCACAGATTCCCGCTGCAGATATGGTTGGCAAGCAGGGGATAGATCTGTGTGTCCTGCAGAGGCTGAAGGGGCTCTCACTAGCTGGCAGGGGCATCAGCTTCATTCAGACAGACCAACTTAGAGAGGCACTGAGAGACCTCCAGCTCAGCATGCATGCATTCCCAGGTATACACACCACAGCTGTAACTTAAAGGGGACTTATTATGCTCTTCCTTATTGTCATGATTTCTTATACAGTTATCTGCCTCAGGCACACTACTGCAAATGTTTACAATACATAGGCTACACTGCTGCAGGCTACATGTAGCTCCACGCTAACATCAGGGAAACATGCAATTATATTAATAATTTCTCCTCAATTTCAGACCATATTCCTGATGGAACATGTCATTGTGAAGATTTTTGTTTAGAAGCTGATGTTGGTGTTTTTCACAGCAGACAGTGCCGCAGTACTACATTACAGTCACTCTCCTGGCAATCTTGTAATCCAACATCTATCAGTCTGATGAGGATAAAGCCTCAGAGGGCAAGGGCCAATATTTCTGGAGCTCCAATGTAACCCAACAATTAAAGACTAGGACAGCACTCTTTTTCAAATGGCCAGAGGACACTTAGGGCAAGACACCCTTCTTCATCATGTATTCTAGTGATTTTACAAACAATAAACAGAGGTAAGGTTAATCATAGGCGACTGCAACCAGCAGAGCCAACACAACAAGAAGACCCTTTGGGGGGAGGCGCAACCTTTCCTAGCACAGGGAGCTCTGTTGTAGCCAGCAGATATCCAGGCCAATACTTCCTTTTCCATGCATTGCTCATTGTTTAGTTTGATTAACAACTTGAGACAGGTCCAGAAAACATTTGGCAAATCTTTATAAAGAGATATCTGCATATAATTGCAGTAAAATTAGAAAAGAGTCAGCTTTTAGCTGTCAGCTAATAGCCGATGGGTTCCAAGATTGCATTTCAGCCAATGCTTTCCACATTGTTTGATTGTGCTCAGATGTGATTTGTCAATACTACTCGGACTACGAACAGAAACCAGTATGCTTCAGAAATCAGAATCTCGTACCATTGCCTACAGATTTGTCATACATATGCAGAATCTGTTTATAGAGATTATATTCCTGATTGCAATGATGATGCATAGACGCAAAGAGGTGGAAGACCCAGAAATGCTGACCAAATAGAGCAGACTGGGCACAAAAATTGAGTATCTCTGACAGGGGGTGAATACAGGTGTTCCAGCACAGACAGTATGAGGGAAATAAAGTGTTATGGAAGTATGTAAACATGTTTTTGTAGGAAAAAAAACTTACAAGTATGAACCTGAGAATGAGTATAACAGGTCCCCTTTAATAATATATACAGCAAAGGTTGACACTGTTTCTGACACAGGAGTAACACCATAGCACCACAGCATATGCACTTTAGGCCTGTAGTTTGAACTGCAATTATAATAGTGTTTGTACAATGTCTCGATGACAGTACAACAAGAGGGTCTGAATAAGAGTAAAACTCATTTTCCACAAATCCTCTCTGTTCTTTAATGAGGAGCAGATCGTTAATCGATGTGAAAACTAAACTTTAACATTGATCTTCATATCTTACATATGAGCTTTTCACACACAGCAGCTACAGTCCCATTCATGTGTGTGCCAAGAATTGTATCAGTTTGACACAAACGGATCATAGAACTGTGATGAATCTACTTGAGTTGTGTGGTCCTTTGTTAGAGCATGTAATCATGCTGTATGCTGTCTCAGAGTGTGTGGGTGCAGGGCTCTGGTGTGGTGAGGTGCTGTGGAGGCTTGGCAGGCGACGGGAGGCCGCAGCTTGTTGGGAAAATACCTGGAGCCTCCCCACACAAATCTCAGAGGAGTAAGACACTGACATTCTTATATACAATGTCTTTGCTAAGTTTGTAGTTTGTAGTGTGCATTATGTCATATAGTATGTTCACACTTCGTACTCAAATTCATCTTGAGTGCCCAGGTTACACATGTACAGCTTTAAATATATGTGACTATGACCCCCACCCCCCCCCACCCCCCCACCCACCCACCCACCCACCAACTTATGACCACTTCAGTTACTAGTTAGTTTAATGTTTAAATTTTTTGTACAAAAAACAAGAAGAGTTTATAAAATATGGATTCATTAGTTTAAAAATCAATCAGCCGATTGACAGAATATGAATTAAACATTTAAGTTTTGAATAATTTTGATTCTTTTGAGGGTTTTTCTTTTCTTTTCTTTTTTATAAATTTTTTGCATCAGGTTTTTTTTACTTTTCATACTTACAACTTTACTACTATAAAGTACATTTTCCTAATTATGCCTTCTTACTTTTACTTAGCTTACACTTTCAATTAAGGACTTTTACTTGTAACAGAGTATTTTTCACCATGTGATGTTTGTACTTTTACTTCAGTTAAGGAGCTGTATACTTCCTCCACCACTGTTCTTATGCCACATATTGAGATACAATGTGATAATGTTCTGATTCAGTGTATTAGGTATGAAAAAGATATTTTTCATAGAAAGTATTTAAGTCCCCAGTAGTTTATTCAGTCTCTTGTTACTTTAGGCAGAACACATTACATATGCTGTTTTGTTACTCTTCTTCTAACAGGTGTATCTGTTCTGTGTTGCAGAAGTCTTTCTGTGTACCTACAGGAACCCCAGTCTGGCCCTATGTTGGACTCCACAGAGCTGCACCAGCGAATACAGGAACTCGGTCCTTCTTTTTAGCCTAGAGAGACAAAAGAAGAATACCCTATCACTTACTGAACAGGATCAACTTTCTCTGGCCTGTGAACTGAAACCCATATGAACAACAAACACACATCTACTGGGTCTACAAAATAAAGAATCTTGAAAGGGCTTACAGTGTTTGAAAGTGAGCGCATGGTGTGGATGGTGAACCTGGCAGGTGGTCTATGCATGAAATGAAGATTACCTGACAAACTGTTGTTTGGTCACTGAAGGTCTGAACTGGCTTTTAGGAAATAAAATATGTACTTTGACCACGCAAGCGTAATCAATACTGTTACTTAAAAGATATATTATGCTCTGATAAAGCACAATACATACCACTTTAAAAGACACACACTATAAAATGTTGCTACTGTAAAATGTCTATTTGTACAGATTTTTGTATGGATTGTATCTACAAATAAAACGCACAAATCAATGTACACTTTTATTTACACCATTTGCGGCTGTTAACAAGAGTAAAAGACCAATTTTATGTTTGTACGGTTCCTCAATAACAACGCGGTGGAAATCAATTGGATGACATAAGTTTGGTGACAGGCTTAAACGACAAATGAGAGGAAAGTTGGTGAAAATAGGAACAGCCCACCTGTTTGTAACTGGCCAGATTTCCACAATATTCTTGGTGACGTCAGACTTCAGGTACTGTCATTGGTTGCTGAAGCTGATGAGTAGCCTCCAGCCAATCAGAATACCAGATGCGTCCAGCTCACGGTATAATTGTAAAGAGGAGCACGGAAACGGCTGCTCTTTCGTGTGAAATCACAGAGAACGTTGAGTAACGAGAACCGGTTAAGCCTCTTAAACATTTAGCTAGAATTTCTTTATTTATTAATAGTAATCCAGGTGGACGACCATGGCCTCGGGAGGGGAGTAAGTAAAAATATCTTTCTGTCCTTTTGCGGTTTTCTGAACAATGGCTATTAGCAAATGTCTTTAAAATCAGCTAACACCAGCTCAGAATACGTTAGTTTATTAAAGTTAGCTCGATTGCTAATACATTACCGAGTTTGCTAGCAAGAGAGCTAATGGGGTCAGTTATTTCAGCCTCCGCACTTTTGTCCATTGCTCGAATAACCTAACATTGCAAATCCACTGACAGTTGGTTATTACCCCGACGAAACGTTGACAGTTGTCATCCAAACGGGTGTCGTTGGCCAGTTAACTGTATGAAATTAGCCAGCTGTGTGACAGCGACTTGACAAAGCGCAGTCATCGCTGTCGTGTTTGAATGCTAACGTTAGCTTAGCAACGGTGTCAAGGCCAAAGCCATCCACCATCACGCCGACAAGTTGGCCTACCAGCCGGTTTATATCCTGTCTTGATAATTAGTTTAACATTTTCAGTGGGACGCTTATAAAGCTAATGAGCAAAAGGCACAGACCAAGCAAACGGGCCAGCGGTTACACGAAAGAAAACGCCGACGTTTACGCTAGTCATCCGGATGGCTAACTTCATGACGAGCTGTCTGGCGATAGCCACTCTGTACAGTGCACCAAAGCTAGCCGGCTAACAGGGTTAGGCTATTCATTCTAAAAGATCGACAATTTACACGGGGTCTATTTCGCTGTTAGCTTAACCGTTATGAAATAACACATTTGCTCATCTCGGTAGCTCACGCACATGTCGACACTTAATGTATTTAAAATCACGATAAAGCTGTAACGTTGGTCTTTCTGTGGAGGAACCGAGCTAACGTTAGCTAACAAAGTTTTTTTTTCTATTTCTTTTGCTGTGTCATCTGGGCTCGCTTGCTCGCCAGTCAGTTAGCTAAAGGCTAGCATTAGCATGCTAACAACATGAAAGAGAAACTACAAAAAGCGATCATAGACTTTTCTGGAAACTTGTTGCCATTTTAACCTTAATAATGATCTTAATAATGGTCAATTTTAAACTGTTGTTGGTTGAATGCACGCACGATAGTGCATATTACCCGGTTAGTCGTGGTAGTTGGCGAGTTGTGTATACGTCCTGTTTACAGCAATAAATGGTTATTTATTCTTAGAGTTACTGTTGTTGTTAATAATGTAGGCACATAAACACTAAATTATAAGGTTACTAGAATTGACGAAAACCTCATACCATTTATATTGTAATCTAATGTGCATTTCGTATTCCTATATGGCCTCATAAATAGGTACAGAGGCATTACAGTAAAAATACGTTTACAACTTGCAATACAAAACACAAACAATCAATAGTGAAAGTACTCATGCCTGAGTACTAAGTATGGCTGACCTCTGTTAAGACATTGTTTGATTTATTTTTAAAATGATCTGTCACAATTCATTCAGAGTTCAGTTGGTAAGGAGCTCACTGAGCACAGAACACTGTCCACCAAAGGACCTTTAGTGAAGGGGTGTTTTCCATATCCCCATAGACGTACCCGAGAAACTAAATCAGAAACTCTGAGAGGTTTCACTGTCACAGGGCACCTTATGAGCCAGCTTGTTTTTTATAGATGTATTATCACACTTGACATTCACTTGTTGTGGAATAATAAGATGTTGATGGTTTCCTGTAGACTATTACTTAGTAACTTTGCAGCTTGATTGTTGTAGGACCTTCAGAAGATCTGGAAGGTGCTCCACAAGAGTTTTTTTTTTTTTTTGGTTCAATCCATTACTGGTTTCATCTGTTCCTCTTCATAGATCCAAAAATGATGATCTAGCCACTGCGATTCTGAAACAGAAGAACAGACCCAACAGACTGATTGTTGATGAATCCATCAATGAAGACAACAGTGTGGTCTCTCTTTCTCAGGTAGGCTAAAACCCTGTGATTTGTTGTAATAGCTCAAATGTTAAGTTACATCTTGATATTTTAAATTTAAAAACACTGAGATGCACTAAATAACTTTTGTTAAATGTCTTTTAAGACCAAAATGGACGAGCTGCAGCTCTTCCGTGGAGACACAGTGCTGATGAAAGGAAAGAAGAGGCGGGAGACTGTGTGCATTGTGCTGTCTGACGACACCTGCTCCGATGAAAAGGTTCGCATGAACAGGGTGGTCCGCAACAATCTGAGGGTCCGGCTGGGTGATGTCATCAGGTGGGGAAAAACACACTAGTCTTAATTTTTTTTTATTTTTTTTATTTTTATTTTTTTTTGAAGGGCTGTGAAAAGAATTTAAGTGGTGTTAAAGTCTGATATCTCCCTCAGCATTCAGCCATGTCCTGATGTGAAGTACGGAAAGAGGATCCACGTCCTCCCAATAGACGACACAGTAGAAGGAATTACTGGAAACCTGTTTGAAGTCTACCTGAAGCCATACTTTCTTGAGGCTTACAGGCCAATCCGCAAAGGTGAGAACAAAGAACCATTATTATTATTATTATAGTTGTTGTTGTTGTTGTTATTGTTATTATTATTATTATTATTATTATTAATATTTTGCCTGATGGATCAGATGTTTCTGTAGAGAGGTAAAACTAACGTGATTTTCTTTTACCACGTAAAGGTGATATTTTCCTGGTCAGAGGAGGCATGCGTGCTGTGGAGTTCAAAGTGGTAGAGACCGACCCCTCTCCCTACTGTATCGTTGCTCCTGATACGGTCATTCACTGTGAAGGAGAGCCTATCAGGAGAGAGGTGGGTAGCAGATGCACACACAGTGCATGGGTTAACATTTATCAAAAAAATGTATTGAAATTTGAATATCTTTGATTTAACATGCAGGATGAGGAAGAGTCCTTGAATGAGGTGGGCTACGATGACATTGGAGGAGTGAGGAAGCAGTTAGCTCAGATCAAAGAGATGGTGGAGCTGCCTCTGAGACACCCTGCACTGTTCAAGGCCATAGGAGTCAAGGTGAAACACCCTTTTAATCTGCACTGAGGAACAAGTGAACACATTTGGCCCTCATTGTAGATTTTGAATTTTAAAGGATAGCACTTGTTCTCATACAAAGGTATAGTTGCTATCTATCTATGACACAAGATGCATCCATCCTTAATTTTAAAACACACAGGTTGAGCTACAGTCATACTTGTGCAGGAATGACAGTAGTAAACATCGACTAGTTTTAGCCAGATATTGCTGTGTAACTGACATCATTGAGTCACTTAAGGAGTCTATGCTTGGTATGTCTAATGTACAGTACATTTCAAGTGTACACAAGCGTAAACCTCATGACATGTATGTTTGCTGCTTTTGGTTTTGTTTGACTTACTTTGAGCGTAATGTGTAATTCACTCTGCCATTATTTATCTTGCAAATGTTTTTAATTTAAGAATAAGCTCTGATTTTAAAGACTGCTTTTCCCGTTTTCAGCCCCCACGTGGAATCTTGCTATATGGACCCCCTGGAACTGGAAAGACCTTGATCGCCAGAGCTGTAGCCAATGAAACTGGAGCTTTCTTCTTCCTGATCAATGGTGTGAACACATATCTGTATTTATCCTCTATAGACACTTATTGCCAGTCTTGGCCATTTTATGATAATACTGAGTGTACCCTCGACAGTGTTGCCTCGTAGTTGCTTGAGGTTTTTAATCAGAATCCTAACAGTGGTTGCTTGACTATACAATGAGAAGCAACATTTAATTTGTGCATCATTTTAGATCAGTTTTTCTTTTGCATTCATCTCTTCAGAACAATTGCAAAATTGGCTGAGCTTTATAAAAGAGGACATAAATTATTAGCTAGCTGCAGGGAGTGCAACTCACCTTTGTAAACTTCTGTTGTAAAATAGATGTCTCATCTCCCAGTAAGAGGGATGGAATAAATGTGTATATATTGAACATGGACTGCATTTATATAGCGCTTTTATAGTCCTAGCGACCACTCAAAGCACTTTACAACACAAGCACCACTAAACCATTTACACGTACATTCTTACATCGGTGGCCGAGGCTACCATGCAAGGTGCCAGTCTGCTCTTCAGAAACATTCATGCACAAATTTGTATTTCGCCCAAGGACACTTCAGCAAGTAGATAGCAGGGGCTAGGGATCAAACACTGACCTTCTGATTAGTAGACAACCATTTTACTTCTAGAGCAGCAGTCGTTTATCTATCACTAGAATGTGTAGTTGGTACAGGGTTCATCTCGTGTTTCATGCATATTATTTGAATGTAGTACATGCTGTGAAGATTCCTCTAAAATCAAAATGTTCTTTGGCTTTCTGTTTAAGGTCCTGAGATCATGAGTAAGCTGGCAGGAGAGAGCGAGAGTAACCTGAGAAAGGCCTTTGAGGAAGCAGAGAAGAATGCTCCTGCCATCATCTTTATTGATGAGCTTGACGCAATTGCCCCTAAAAGAGAGAAGGTGAGTGGGAGGAGAGGAAAACTAAATGTGTCGCTGAATAACAGTGTTTTGAGCGAGTGTTTTGAAATAATGGCTCATTGTCCAGACCTTGAAAAGACTAAATGTAGCTTGTTTTTGTATAGTTTCTTTTCATGTTTTGGTATTTTGCTT